AGCAGTTATATTCACAACTAGAGGCCCGGTGCATGGATTCATGCACCAGTGGGGTCCCTTCGTCTGGCCTGCGGGGATCAGTGGACTTCCGCACCGCTGCAGCCCAGCCTTACCCGCCAGCTTGTCGGGCTTCAGCCCACTGTCCCTGTTGATCCTGCACAGCACGAAGTAGTGCGAGAAATGACAGGTGGCCAGGGAGGAGCCCGAGCTGGGGCCAGGCACCGTGCCGCTCCTGCTCATCCCGGCCCTGCTGCGCATGCTGCCGCTGCCCCGTAGGCTGACTGCTGCTTTGCTGCAGTCTCCGTGCGCCCGTCGTAGGGCGATACCGGCACACCCATGATTGCACAACCACTGCTTGTTATCGCAGCCTCGCTCCTCGCACCCAGTCAGTCCTGATGTCAGGACCAGGAGCCATGAGCCCCATGTCCGTTGGTTAGCTGAGCAGCCCTCCCGCTGTGGGAGTGCACTGACTACCAGGGGGCAGCTCCTGCGTTGAGTGTCTGCCCCCTGGTGGTCAGTGCACATCAGGGGTCCTCAAACTTTTTAAACAGGGGGCCAGTTCACTGTCCCTCAGACCACTGGAGGGCCGGACTATAGTTTAAAAAAAAACTATGAACAAATTCCTATGCACACTGCACATATCTTATTTTGAAGTAAAAAAACAAAACGGGAACAAATACAATATTTGTATTTGCATGTGGCCTGCGGGCCATAGTTTGAGGACCCCTGGTGCACATCATAGCTACCAGATGACCGATTGCTTAGGCTTTTATATATATAGGTAGATAGATAGCCATAAAATGTAAAACAACCCAAAAGTCCATCAATAGATAAGTAGATAAACAAAATGTGAAATATAGCCATACAATAAAGTATTGTTTAGCCAGTAAAGAAATGAAATGCTAATACATGCTAAAACATGGATGTACCCTGCAAACATTACTATGCTATGTGAAAGAAGCCAACAGAAAGACCACATGCTGTATGAGTCCATTTATATGAAATGTCCACAAAAAGCAAATCCATACAGACAGAAAGTAGATTACTGGTTGCCCAGGGTTGGGGGAGTGGGGGTAACTACTAATGGGTACAGGGTTTCTTTTTGAGGTGATGAAATATTCTGGAATTAGACAGTGGTGATGAACATACAACTGTGTGAATATACTAAAACCACCGAATTGCACACTTTAAAGGGGTAAATTTTATGGTATGTGAATTTTAAATAAAAAATAATTAATTTAAAAAGTATATGGCAAAATATTATTCAATTTTAGATATTTCATTAAGGAATTACTGAGTTTCTTAGCTATGAAACAAAAGGGAGTATTCAAGTTTTATTACATGTTGTATCCATGTCAAATAACTACACAAGTTTTTTCTTTGTGTATGTTTTTAAGTTTATGGACTTTATAGTAGCAAAGCAAGTAGCTAAGTCTTTGGACTTCTTGCTGTTATTATTGCCAATTCTCCTGTTTGTTCTAATGACATTTCCTGAAATAGTATTTGATATGGAATACTTTTCTGAGTATTTAATGTGAATATCTTTGAAGAAAAATACCTAGAAAATGTAAGTATAATAAACAATAAATTTAAATTGCAGAAGTTTACAATACTTGAGTTACTAAAAATCACTACCACATTAGTTAGTACCTACACATTCTAGCCCCTACAAACACAAACTGGGGAGTCAGTGGGGCAGGGGGTGAGGGGGTGTTACCTCTTTCTCCTCTGGGCAGTACAAGGGCCCTGTAGGATGAAGAACAGCTTTCTGGGCATAATAAAAGAGCTCTGATATGTTCTTCAGGTTTTTTGCTGAACACTAAAAAAAAAAAAAGTTTAAAATTTTACACTCTGAAAGCAATTATGAGAGTTAAAACCACGAAAATAAGGTAATAAGATTCCTTGAAGAAACTGAAAATGCATTTTTCTTAGTGGATATCACAAGATGATTGTCTACAAAGAGCCCAGAGGCCAACTTCAAGTTCTCTATTTGGTTTACATGACTTCACAAACAGCAGGAAATTTATTCCATCCCACATCTCCCCAGCCTTCTATTCCCAACCTCAATTAGTGCGAATTCACCAACAGTAAATTTCAAAATCAAACAAGGCATACCTCCACACAGGTTTCTATTTCAGTGTACTGGTTCATAATAGGAAGGATGGTCTCCATACTGCTATATTCCACTAGATCAGATTTGTTCCCAACCAATATCAAAGGCAACCTGAAATAAACAGGGCACATTGTAATACTAAGGAAGACAACATACGTTAGATTTATATTTTAATGTACATTAACCCATTCTAACTAGTAAGATATACTTAATCTCCCCAATATGAACCCTCTACTGTAGTCAGCTCAAGCCTACTAGAAAGCATATTCAACAAATACTTATTGAGTACCTATGATAAGCCAGGTACTGTTGTAGGCATTAAGGACACGGGGAAAGTCCATCCCCATTCTAATAGTGTAAATAGGAAATGGACAATAAGCAAATAAACAAACAAGACAATTTCCAATTCTGTTAAGCACTATGAAGAAAATAAATAGGGGGATATGGGCTATAGTTATGAAAGGGAACTAATTATATGTGATAATCAGGGAAAATCTTTCTGACAAGGTGGCAGTTGAGTCAAGGAGTGAAGAATGAAATGGAATCTGCCATATGAAGAGCTGGGCGGTAAGAAGGGACAGCATGTACAAAGACCCCAAACTAAAAAACATCTTGTTTAGTCCAAAAAGCAAAAAAAAAAATGCAAGAGTGGCTGGAGAGTCCGGAGCAAAAGAGGTATGAAATGGGGTGAAGGGAGAGGAGCAAAGATCAGACACATAAGGACTTATAGATGTAGTAAGGAGAGTAAGGTTTTATTATAAATGTAAATGGGAAGCTACTGGGGTAATGGCATGATATGATGGACCTTTTAAAATGCAGTCATTTGTTATCTTTAGAGATACATAGTGAAATATTTATAGGGTGATATGGTATGATTCTGCTGTTAGATTAGATATCGAGGTTGAAGAAAAGGCAAAAAAAAAAAATAAAAAATACATAGGTTTTTAGCTAGATAAAATGGGTAGATCTCCTTAGACAGAAAAGACTAAAAGCATTTTTTAAGAAGCAGAGCCCTATCCGGTCTGGTTTCAATGGACAGAGCGTCAGCCTGAGAGTTCAATTCCAATCAAGGGCAAGTGCCTCGGTTGCAGGCTTGGTCCCTGGCCCTGGTTGGGGCACTTGTGGGAAGCAACCAATCAATGTGTCTCTCTCACATTGATATTTCTCTCTATCTGTCTCTTCCCCTACTTTCCACTCTAAAAATCAAAGAAATCTCTCTGTATAAAATTTCAAAGAAATCTCTCTTTTCAGAGAACTTATAAAGCACTCACATATGCATTATTTCATTGGATTCTTAAAATAACCACAAGTATTATCCTCATTTCTGCTTACAGTTGAGGAAACAGGCTCAATGAAGTCAAAGTCTTTTTTGTTTTGTTTTGTTAATCCTCACCCCAGGATATTTTCTCCACTGATTTTTAAAGAGAGTGGAAGGGAGAGAGAGAGAGAGAGAGAGAGAGAGAGAGAGAGAGAGAGAGAGAGAGAAACACCCATGGGAAAGAGACACATCAACTGGTTGCCTCCCGCAGGAGGCCAGGATCAAATCTGCAATCCAGGTATGTGCCCTTGACTAGGAATTGAACACAAGACCCTATGGTGCACAGGCTGACGCTCTACCCACTGACCAATGCCAGCCAGGGCTGAAGTCAGTCTTAAAGCTCATAAGCAGCCAAACCAGGTTTCAAAGGTCGTTCACTTTCCTCCAAGTTGCATGCTCTTACATACCCACACAATGAGCAATCAATGACAAGGGAGAGTGTCATTCCTCATCAAATGGGCATCTAAGTGAGAGGGCACATACAGTGCAGTTGAAGAGGAATTCTAAAGTTGAGACTTTTCAAGCAGTGGTTTGAGAAAGAGAAATGCAAGATTAATTATCAAAATACTTAATGTTTGAAATTATGAATCACAGCTCTATTCTGTACTTTGTTCTCAAATATTTGTGTTGCCTCAAATCATTTCTTCCAAAAAAGGAGTGTGTATGCAAACAGGTAGATAGATCTATAGATAAAACAAATGTGGCAAAATGTTAACAACTGGTGGATTTAAGTGAAGGTTTATAGATGTTCATTATACTACTTCTTGCGACTTTCCTGTAAGTTTGAAATTTTTCAATATACAAAGTTGGAGAGAGAAAAAATACCTGCTGTCTTTGTCTGTTCTTTCATTTATGAGAGGAATCCATCGACTTGTTACCTAAAATGAAAATTAACAAGAGCTAAGCCACATGAGGATCTTCTTAGAAAAATACCCGACCTAAGACCCCTATAATTCTAAACTGGGGATCAATTTAACTAAATATGGTGAAAAAAGTCATAGAGTCCTACCTTATCAATAGAATGCTTGTTGTTGACAGCATAAACTATGCAGATGACATTAGCCTACAAGAAAAATGAACAAATTAATAGTATTTTTGTAATAATAAGAAAAACTTAGTACGTCTCTAAGAGGAAAAAGTTCCTAAGGACTTACAGCAAAAATAGATACTCAAACTTAGCAATAACCACAAAATAAGTTAGAGAATAAAAAAATAAGACTTAGAATCATCACTGTTTTCCCACAAAAACCTATTACTATTTTTTAACTCATCTGTGATTTTGTTTTTTTTTGGTTAATCCTCACCTGAAGATATTTTTTTCCATTGATTTTTAGAGAGAGTGGAAAGAAGGGAGGGAGGGTGGGAGAAATAGACACATCGATTGGTTGCCTCCTGCGTGTGCCCCGATCAGGGCCTGGGATCAAACCTACAACCCAGGTACACGCCCTTGATTGGAATTGAACCTGCGACTCTTCAGTACCCGGGCCGACGCTCTAACCACTGACCCACACAGGCCAGGTCACTAACCTGTGATATTTCTTGATGAAGTTGTTCATCACTCTGTTCTGCTTCTACAAATGACAAAGTAAAAAATAGTTTCATACTTTACACATGTCCATAAAAACGAATGGCCAGGCTAAAATCTATGCAACACCCATCTAACATCCCTCTAAACATCCCTTATTCCTTAAGTCATGGTATAGTGCCAGACTAGGTGGCAAAGACAAGGGCAGGGCAGGGGAAGGGAAGGGTGATAAGGAAGCTGGCTGGCACTGAAAGACAGGTTTACAAGAGGGTAACTCAGACACAGAAGAGCAAAAGGAACTGTGTTATAAATCTAGGCCGGCATCTGACCCAGAGTTGAGAAGGGTCAGGCAAAAGAGATCAGAAACCCAAGCTAGAAGACTGGGTGCTGAAAAGTCAGAAGCCCAGACAAAGCGTCTATCCACACAAGGTTAAAAGGCCACATGAGAATCTGGGCAATACAAGCTTACGATCTAGATAGCAGATATGAGTAATATTAACCAGGCCCCAGAAGCAAAACTAGAGCATGATAATGATGAGTCAAAAATTCCCTCTCTAATGCGTATCTCTGGCCAGAACTGGTATCAATGGGGAGTTGTGCCTATAACCCCAAGGTACACGAGATATGCATGATGTAGGTAGGAGGAAGCACACAAATGAAGAGCAAAGCCATTATTGATATATTAATTCAGGTCATCTTATAGTAAATGTTTCCCCCCAAAATGCCTGTTATTTCTGACATACAAACTAATACCATATGTAAGTTCAATTGCACTTTACACTATGCTAAAATAACTGGCCATTTTTAATATCTTTTCATACGTTTAGTAATAATGGGTTTTGGCTCCAATTCTAATATTGAAGTGAATCTAATTATATGGCTACACTTATCTAAAAAAATGATTCTATAAGTTAAGCTACAGTTAAGAGACTGTAGCAGAAAGCATCCATTCCCCTCAGCTTCTAATATAACACAGTGCTGTCCAGTAGAAATACAATGCAAGCATATATATGTAATTTTTAATTTGCTAGTAGTCACCTTAAGAAAAGTAACAGGTAAAATTACTCTTTCACTTAACCCAAAACATCAAAAATATTAAAATTTCAATATATACTCAGAAAAAGTACTAATGAGCTATTTTATATTCTGGCTTCATACTGAATCTTCTAAATGCACTGTATTGTACACATAGGCACACTTCAATTTAGACTAGCCACACTTCAATTGTTCAAACAGTCACATGTTTCCGACTGCACAGTGCTAACATTTATTTTTTAGGCTATATGAGATACCAGTTTGGCAAAACAAAGTATTACAATGTAGTTATATCTATTTAAAAAATAGATTTTATTGTTTAGACCAGTTTTAGGTTCACAGCAAAACTGAGTAAAGGGTAGAGAGATTTCCCATCTACCTCCTGTCTCCATATTAGCTTCCCGCACTGTAACATGTACCATCAGAGTGGTACATGTTACAACTGACTCTTTAAAAAAAAAGAAGTCCCAGAACAAAGCACAATAATTTAATGATTAAAAAGAAGTAGTAGTGTATAGAAAAAATTTAAATTATAAGAAGCAATACAGATGTGCTTCTATTATCATATAATGTAAGCAACTTGACAACTGTTTCAACTATTATTTTAAGACAAAGGCTGAAAAATTAAAGAACAAATTTAGAAATCAACAAATTCTGAAATTTAGAGCACTTTCCAAATCATCGGAGGATGCCTGATAACAAATTATCCCAGAACTTCTCTCTGCAAACATGACAATTCAAGGAGGGTAATGACTTATCTACTTCTTGTCATTTACCATTCCTCCTTCCTTTTCATCATTATGGAACCCACCTTAGTAAATTAGGGAAGAGAACTGCAAGATGGAGGCTTTAGGTGGGTCTGGGGTGGGGACTGGCAGGAAGATATAAATGAAACAAGAATGGTAAATGATCATTTATTGCTAGAGAAAAAGGACCACTCCTGTTTAATATTTTTTAAACCTCAGTAAGTACCTTTTTTCAGATTACTGAACTAACCCTACAGGTTCACCTACAATAGGTCATTCATTACCTGAGTAATCTACGATGTGGGTTGGAACTCTCTCAGGGGTGACATCAGCTGGAATAGTGATTTCTTCTGCCCGAGGAGGAACCTTCATTTGAAAACAAATATAGAAGAAAAATAGGCCACCTTTGGATATGATAGATTAAAATTGTTAACAGATTATGTAAATGTATCTATATATTAGCCCCTTTCATCCATATCTATTCTTACAGGTATTTGTTGTACTTTTAAATGCTTATTTTTGTGTTTTACTACAAATGCAAATATATATTAATGGTATATGATAAATCACTTTTTAAAAAAAGCTCATTTCTACCTGTGTGGGCACCGGACATAAAAGAATACTTCAGATCTGATGTAGCCCAACACAGTACTTAAATTAATTTGGTGTTTTAAACATTAGGTTTTTAAATGTTGAGGATGATAAAAAAGATTTAGATGTAGAAAGTGATGTTGGCTACACAAAACTGTGAATGTATTTAATGCCCCTAAATTGTACATTGTAAAATCTAATGTCGTTTTCATTCTATTTTGTTGAAAGCCTGACATACTCTACAAATGAAGAACTATGTTAATCTAAAATAATCCTCAAATAAAACAATGTTATCAAAATTCATTTCTTCTGGAAGATAACTAATTGGCAACATAATAAGCCTTATGTTTAATGATCCCATTTTTCAGAAATACTGGATGATTTTTAATCAATTAAAAATCCCTTATTCACACTCAAGAGGACTATGCTAAAATGACAATTCTAAACTAAGTTAAACTATCATAGAAAACTTTTAGGTATTACATCCTGGGTGATCATAATTAATGTTGCTAATTCTATAAACCACAAAGGAAAATACACTTCATTTCATAAATTAAGCAGTAGTTATTTAACCATGTTACTTAAGAGGGAAAAAAGTGAAAGAAACAATGAATGGTCATATGGCCACTGTTGAAAACACTATTATATCATACATCATATTCCTGTCTAAATAATGAAATTATACAGATATTCCTACTTAAGTAAGAGTAATAAAAAGGGGGGGATCAAATGTAAATTGTGGCACTAATAACACCTGCAATGTGAATAAAGAAAATAAAAAGAAATAATTTTCATTCCGTTTGCACTGATCCCATTCCCCATAACAATATCGTGATTTTACGTAAGGCCTTAAGCAGCAGTCCCCATACTGGAACTTCCAAGATGTAAACAAATATATTGCCAGTAATAAAAACCACTTTACTTTTAGTAGCACTCCCATTAAGCTTATCTCATTTGAGACCCACAACAATCCTTTCAGGTAAGTAGGCAAAGGCAGAATGAATTAGTTTCTCTATTTGTAAAATGATGGAGGTGGGTAATATTAAAGGGTTTTAAATATGTGTGTCAGAATCCTAGTAGTTCTAATGCCTCAAAGACTAGGGGGTGTCAGGTGGAAGGCAGGTGGGGATTCAGCCCTTTTGCCCTAACTTCAATGAAAGGAATACTCATCTGTTTTATGTTTTGGGGTTATGAGCAACATTTTATGTTTAAGAAACAATTACACAATTACACACACACACACACACACACACACACACAATGAACAGATTAGATGACTTCTAATATCCCTTTCAGCTCCCATTTTACATATGAGACTAATAAGACACAGAGATGACAATATCCCAGCCAAGGTCAAAAGTATAGGAAATGCAAAGGACTGAGGTGAACTCAGATCTAGGGTGACTCTTTCTCCTACACCGTATTTCAGGGATGTCTTGTATAAAATAATATGAGCCTTTTCAAAAATCACAACTGTCAGAAAGGAAGCACACGCAAAAAAGGCAGAATTTGTTTCATTTTAGCTCAATTTTGAGAAATTTAAAACATTTTAAGAATAGCAAAAGAAATCAAAATGTTTACCTCCTCTGGAAATTCTTCACTGACCAGAGACATAATCAGTGATGTCTTCCCAACTCTAGCTGTGAAAAGAAAAATCATTACTTTAATAGAGTGTTCAGGTTCATAAGCTCCTAATTCAGCAACCACATAGAAAGTCTGTTATTTGTTAGCTAAAATCAGAGGCATCCAAATTACCACATCTTATTACAATACTTCAAGTATATCTCTTTTTCTTCTGCTTAGAAAGTTACATATACTCATTGCTTAAAACAAAAAATTATCAAAATTTATTATATGTAAGTAAAATTCTCCCATAATGTCCTCATTAACAATTTAATATAGACAGTCTCCCAGATTTTTCCTACACTCAAGTTAATATAATAATTTACCACAGTGGAATCATAGTATTCATACTATTTTACAATCTTCCTTTTTTATTTAATTATGTATTTGGGCAGTATTCCATGTCGTATATAAAAATCTCCTGGGAGAGGGAAGGAATTCTGTATTAATGGATACAGAATTTTTGTTAAGTATGATACAAAGTTTTAGATCTAGACAGTGGTGATGGTTACACAAAATTGTGAATGTATTTATATTATGTTTTGTATATTTTATCACAATTTAAAAAAATAGCAATCATAAATCCATTTTATATTAATATTTAGAAAGCTTTTTACATTAGTTTTGGATAGTTGTGTAAGAATCCACTGTATGATGTGTCATAATTAATATAATCTAACAATAAACACTGTTGAGGTTTTTACTTTTATAAACAATGCTACAATGATTATTTCTAAAGGATAAATTTCTAGAAGTGGAACTCAAGTTAGCATGCATAATCTTTTTTTTTTTAAATATATTTTATTGATTTTTTACAGAGAAGAAGGGAGAGGGATAGAGAGTTAGAAACATCGATGAGAGAGAAACATCGATCAGCTGCCTCCTGCACACTCCCTACTGGGTATGTGCCCGCAACAAAGGTACATGCCCTTGACTGGAATCGAACCTGGGACCCTTGAGTCCGCAGGCCGACGCTCTATCCACTGAGCCAAACCGGTCAGGGCAGCATGCATAATCTTTTATGTTTTTAATAGATATTGTTAAATTATCTCCAAAAAAGAATAAACCAATTTACATCCTTACCAATAAAAGGTCAGAGTGCATATTTCTGTACACCCTTACATTCTTTCTTTTTTAGGGTATCATATTTAAAGGGTTAATAAGAGCAAAGAAACTTTCTCATTACATTTTCTAACCAGAAAATTTTTTAACGCACAAACTTAAAAATCTTAATTTTCATTCTGAAATGTGCCGTGCATTCTCCTCCCTTTCTGATCATATAATTGCTATCATTAAACATCCAACTGCTTATTAACTAAATCCTTTTGTTATTCTCAAGGAAAACAGTCCACTGCCTATTAATCTCTGCCATAATAGCAAATTACAGTTTCCAAAAGTAAAGTCGAAATATAAAATAACTGGAAAATTTTAAAGTTAAGAGAAGTCACATTCTTTTTTTTTAAATGGACTAAAAAAAAAAAGTATGAACTGAAAACACAAGTCAAGTCTCTGGAAAAATAACGAATGGCTGGAGAGTACTGGTCCAAACATAGAGGGTGTGCTGTGAACAAGTGAGGGCTGCTGGTGGAGGGACAAATTAGATGGTCCAACAGGTGCCTTCTAGCTCTGATTTCCTCGGTTCTTTTCAACTGACTGTGTGAGAACACTTGGGTCTTTTCCAAGTGGCTGAGAGTAAACACTGTCACTGAGTTCTGACTGTGTCAGTGAACTCAGAGCCCAACATCACAGAACTGCTAGAACCTAGTCATCACTGTCAGCTGGTCCAGCTCCCCCCAAATATGTTCTGATAAAGAACCTAGGACCCAGAGACAGTTATTTTCTCAAGGTCTCACTAAAAGATTAGCTGCACACCTAAGAGAATAACCCATCTCTTGATGGCTAAGCCAGTGTTCTTTTTCTTATGCCAGACTTTAAAAAATATTGTTAACACAAGTTAAAAATGCAGAAAAGGAATGGTGACCCCCTAAAGTCAGCAAACACTGCATACACAAATACTACGTAAGTTAATTAAGATACTCGCTGATTCATTGGTGACTAATTCAGCAGCTCTGGCTCAAATTTTTTTTTAACTTATTTTAAGAAAATTTCAGACTTACAAAAAACTGCAAAAATAGTACAAAGGAGCCAGGTCTGTCCTTTAACCAAATTCCACATATGTTAACATTTAACCACATCTGCATTATCATTCTCTCTCTAAATATATATACTTAAAAATTTTTTTAAACCATTTGAAAGTTGCAGACATGATGACCCTTTACGGGTGCTAAAGCACCGTAGTATACATTTCCTAAAGACAAGATCGTTCTCTTACATAACCACAGTACATTGTCAAGATCAGGAAATTAACACCAATAAACACTATCATCTAATCTATAGACTTTATCACACCTCACATTCGTCCCACTATCATCTTTTATAGCAAAGAAAACTCTGTTTTTCTGACCAAGATCAAATATTGCATTTGGTTGTCAGTCTCTTTAGTCCCTTTTAATCTTTAGTTCCTCAATCTATCATGACCTTAACTTTTTGAAGAATACAAGCCATTGAATTTGTACACTATCCCTCAATTGGGTTTGTATGATGTTATCTCATGATTAAGTTCAGGTTTTGCATTTTTGGCAGGAATATCCTAGAAGTGATATTGCACCCTCTTCAGTGCATCACAGCAGAAGGGAGTCTTCCCTGGGTCAAGACTGATGGTGTCAATTTTGTCCCGTTACTGGTGATGTTGGCTGTCATCACTTGGAGGAGGTGGTGCCTGCCACTATAAAGTTATTTTTCCTATTGTAATTAATATGTATCTTAGGAGGAGATACTTTGGACTATGTTAATATCCTGTTTCTCATCAAACTTTTGCCCACTGGTTTAAGCAGTCATTCATGATGCTTAAATTTTGTTTCCATCAAACCTTCTACATTACTTTGCATTTTACTGTAAGAAAAAAACTTCCCTTCTGATTCATATTAGCATGGCCTCATGGATTATTCTATGGTTTATAAGCTGTTACTGTCACTATTTGGGGGCTCCAATTGTTCCAATTTAATTTTAAAATGACATTTATGTAGGTATAAATCAGCATGATCCCATTTTATTTTTATTTTTTTGAGAATATATTTTTTAATCTCAATATACTCAGTAATGAAGCTTTTTTGCTACAATTATTACTTTAGTTCCCAAACATGCTACAAGATAATTTTAATTTTTCCTAGAAGTGTTTGGTAGTTCTGACAGTAAGACTGAATGCTACAAGGCAGCTTACTGCTAGTTACCAAGCTATCACACCTATTTTCTTGGCTTGCTTTTCGGGAAGATAACATTGAGGTATGGGAACGCCCTCTCTCGAAGTTAGCCTGGGCGGTGGCTGTGGTAAACCTGCAGGAGATTGGTGGACCTCGTTCTTACACCATCAGTCTTGCTTCTCTGGGTCAAGGAGTGGCCTGTAATCCTGCTTGTCATATCACAGAGCTCCTTCCATGATTTTATTGTCATATAATCAAACAAAATATGAAGCTTAGAACTGGATCACTTGACCCTTTCTCTTCTTATCTCCTCCCAATTCAAAATGCTTACATCTCTTAATAGCCAGCATTCTCTTAGATCTGCAGTTAGGCTCAACGCATTCAAGCCTCAGCACAATCTTCTTTGTAGTTTTAGCCTTTTTTCAGTCTGCCCACCATAGCCACTTTGCTTCCTGTCATAATGCCACTTTCCCTGAGCATACAGAGAATCCTTGCCCTTCTTGTACTGTGTTACTTTGTGGGGTTGATGCTTGCCACACTACTTACAGAAAGTTCGGCGGGTTTTAGGAATGTTCACCATGTCTGCGAGAGCTATCAGCAGGGAAAGCAATCCCATTTTATTTTTAAAATATGTATTTGCATAGAAAAAATACACCAGGAAGGACATATATACCAACAGTGGTTCACTCTGAAGTAAATGTGATTGTAACTTTCTTCTTTGTGCTTTTCTATATATTTCCCAATTTTCTAAAATAAACATAATTTTTGCTACTAGAAAAAGGTCAACAAGTACTATTTTATGTCATTTTTGGTAGTCAAAATTGGCATATTTTAAATTTACAGATGGCAACTGAAATTTACCTAAAGGTCGACATGTAAAATGCGTGCTTTCATCCCTTCAATAAATATTTCCAGCAATTCTCTCTGCCAGGCACTTTCCCAGGTACTGCGGGTACCATTCATCGAGGTCTTCTCTACTTTTTAAACTTTCATGGAGATTATAATCCAACAGACTTATAAATTTTTCACCAATAAAGAACACCCTTTCTACAAATCAGCATCAAAAGCACAACTCAAAAACTGTGGCTATCTTGATTCACACTTCCTCTGCACTTAGCCTTCAAATTATGTCAAATTTTCCTTTGAAATTTTTATTCATTCTTTCTTCTCAGTTCCCACTTTCCCTATGGTACTTTTACTGAAAAGCCTCCCAGTTCCCAACTTTCTACCTCTTCTTCCTATCTCTCCTTACTAATTTATCAACAATACAAATCCCAGTCCATGTTTTTCACACATTCTTTTCACTTACTAACTCACCTGATCAAAAAAGCCTTCCTTGACTCTCAATTACCTACCACATCAAGGTGAAACTATTCTACTTGCCTTTGAAAATCATACAAAATTAAACATAGATCATCTATGTAATCTGATTTCCCACTATTCCCCACATACACGATTTGCATTTTTAGCAGGAAATAGGCCATTCTGCTCTGTATAAGTACAAACAAGCCATGATGAATCCTGCTTCCCCACTGGGTTGTTTCTTTTCTTCACCTAAAATGCCATTCCTCCTCTCCCCTCTCCAGCTCCAAATATTAACCATCGCTCAAGGACATCTCAAATTCTATCTAAACTCTAAAGACATCCCAGGGCTACTATAGCTCTCCCCATCTTCCTTTGAACTACAATTGTGACACATAACTTGCATCAAACTATTAAGAATATAAAGTACATAATATGTATGCATTTACATTAAC